ACAAATAACATTTAGCAAGTAAGAAAAATGTTTTTATAAGTTAAAAATATGATAGCTGAACCAAAATATTGAATAAGAGGATGGGAAGGCAAAGAAAATATCCCAGAAAGTAGAACTCAAACAAACAAACAAAAAAAGTAAAACTGAAAAGAATACTTGATAATCAATTTAGTACAAGATAAATCCCCCCCCCCAAAAAAAATTCTGGAACCAAGAAAGGTACAGAAGGCCTATTGCAATAAACCAAAACAATATCAAGGTACACCTCTTTAAAAAATGCTGAAGATAAACAGAAAATTCTAAAATCTACTAGATAGGAAAAATATGAATAAGAATGATACTGTGGCCCTGGCCAGTTTGGCTCAGCGGTTAGAGTGTCGGCCTGCAGACCAAAGAATTCTGGGTTCGATTCCGGCCAAGGGCACGTACCTCAGTTGTGGTTCATCCCCAGCCCTGGTTGGGGTCATGCCATGCGGGTGGCAACCAATCATTGTGTCTCTCTCACATCAATGTTTCTACCCCCCGCCTCCGAAGATAAATGTAAAAATATCCTCAGGTGAAGATTAAAAAAAAAGAATGATACTGGCCTTCTCAACAACACTGAAAACATGAGGACAATGACAATACCTTCAAAATTCTGAAAGAAATGTTTTACAACCCAGAATTCTACATCCAGCCCAATTATAAATAAAAAGTGAGGACAGACCAATACATTTTCAAGCATTTGGAATTGCAAAACAATTATCACTTTAGATAACTACAAGAAATTTAAGGATGTGCTCCATCAAAATAAGGGCAAAACAAGAAGGACCTGAGTTCTAGTGAAAAGTAAATTCCTAGAATGATAGCAAAGACAAGTCTAGAACATCTGTGTACCAGGCACAGAGGGAAACAAGTCGTTTGGAGCAGGAAGAAATACTGACAGCATGGGGAAGGAGGATAAATCAGCTGATAGGTGCAATGTGGGAAAACTTGTACAGAGAGTTTTTGAATAATATGAAATGACTTAGTCAAATGTACAAAGAAAATAAAGTGATGAAGTGTAATTATTTATTCCAGGGGAGAAAAAGTTGTAGGAAAAAGGTAAACAGTAGGGCATACTGTGGCTCGGCAGTAACAAAACTTTAGTTATAACAATGTAAAGATAGTGTGGATTAACCCAAAAAACTATATTGGAATGGTGAAGGAAAAGGTCATAAAGGCAAATAATTTGTACACTTGAAACTAATATGTTATATGTTAATTATATCTCAATTAAAAAATCACAAATGAATGTTTAAAATTTCCATATATGCATATTATTAAAAAATATGGAAGTATATACTGGAAAAAATTCAAAAGATTTGACTATATATAAAATAAATAATGCTAAAACTGCCCGGCTGGTGTGGCTCAGTGGTTGAGCTTTTGACTTATGCACCAAGAGGTCGTGGGTACAATTCCCAATTAGGACACATGACCAGGATGTGGGCCCAATCGATGTTCTCTCTCATCAATGTTTCTCTTTCTCTCCCTAAGATCAATAAAGAAAAAATAAATTAAAAATAAATAATGCTAAAACTTTAGCACTATTTAACTTTTAAAAAATGTGTCCATGTTACTGTTATAAAATTTGATATTTAAAAACACTAAAAAAATTCCACAAATTTTTTGTTTTTGGATTGGAGATACAATAATGAATAAAACAAACTTCATGCCTTGTAAGTTACTTCTAATGAGAGAAACAGACACACAAGTAAACAAACTTATGATTACAGGTTGAGGAAAACATTAGCCCCTCAAAATAGAGAATGAGTGTTGGGGTGGGAACAGTGGTCAGGGATGGTCTCTCTGAGGAGCAGACGTTTGATTAGCAATCTGGACCATTTGAAGTAAGGGATAAAGAGTACACCAGAAAATGGGGAGCAGACAGATGGTAAGTTTAAGTTTCATATGTTTGAAACCAGCTAAAAGTCCAGAATCAAGAGTAAAATAAGCTAAAGAGAGAAATGAAAGACACCAGATCTGAGCAGTCAAAACAATAACAATGCCATAAAAGGTTGGCATTGCAAGATAACAAGAAATTCATTGATAAGAAATGATCAGATAATGAAATTAAAATGTCAATATTTGGTTCTGAAAATTAACTACTATTAAAACCATATTCCATTCACCCTTAATTCTCGGTAATATAAGAAATAACTGATTACCAGCTGTACAGTAACGAGAGAGAGGAAAAGACCAAAGTCTATGAAAGTTAAAAAATAAATGCTAAACTTTTGAGGTGAGTTTAAAGATATCATAGTTAAAGATATCAGACACATATGTATTTATTTTATACAAACACATATACAATCTTATATAAAATAATGTTCATAAAGATAATCAAGATTTTGAAATTATTTCCTTCATAGTTAAGTGTGTCAAAGTCATCAGTCTTACACCTTAAAATTAAGCAATACAAAATTACAGAGATTAATTACATACTTTGTAATAGCTTCACTTAGACAATACATGCTTTAGTATACTTATTCCCAGAAAGGTATCAAATTTATGAGAAGATGACTGATGCTCTAAAATGCTACAAGAAAAAATGATGGAAGTGAGGCAAATGAAGAGGGATAAGGGAAATGAGTATTTAAGGTAAGATTAAGTAGTTCTCAACTCTGGCTGCACACATGAATTATCTTGGCACTGATGCCTAGACCACTCCACCCCATTCTGATTTAACTGGTCTGAGGTGGGGCCTTGGGCATATTATTCTAATATGCAACCAAGACTGAGTCACTTGAGTATTTCTGGATTAGGTGTGCTATGGTGGTGAAAATGGAAACGGCTGAGATTGTTAGTTGCTTCTGTCAATATAGAAAGTAAAAATACAGGACCAAGTATCAATCCCTTGCTTCAAAAATAACACACCATGACCAAACACTTCAACTGCTCCCATGGCTTGCTCGGTAGTTTAAAGCCTTAGTCAACATACAAGGCCCTCTGTGATCTGGTTCCCCTGGCTACCTTTCCAACCTCATCTCCACTGACTTCCCCACAGGCAAATGAAAATACAGCCAAACTAACCTATTTTCAGCTTCCTTTCATATACCAAACTATTCAATTCCTCTCCTATTTGCATATTGTTAGTCCCCTAGCATAGAATAACATGCCCCTTCTACTCAGTCTGCCTAACATGCCTTGTAAGCTCCTACTTATCCTTAAAGTCCAAGTATACCTTTTTCTGTAGTCTTCTAGGAACCACATGAGAAAAATTCATCATTTCCTTTTGGTGTCATCACCACACTTTTATACATATCAGTCAAATAATTTACCATACTGCATTTTTTCCTATTTCTTTCGTCATGTACTGATCTTTGAGCCCTATGAGAGCAAGTAACTGTGTCTTTTGTTTGTTTTTAAGTCTTTGTATCTCCTATACCTAACTCTAAAAACTGGTTTATGCCCTATGACCAAATGTTAGTTGCAGGAAAGAATGAGAATAAAATGACAGAAAAGCCACTAGTACTAAATATAACAGGAAAGTGAAAGGAATCTAAATAGTAATGAGGATTTAGGAGACCCAAAAAGTTACATGACTATAAAAGCAGCCCGTGAATGCCTTTCATCATCTCCTGCATTTTCCCTTTATGTCCTCCAATCCTTTTAGTCTGATTAAGGAAGACTCAAACAAACACGATGAAGTGCAGTAATAAAACAGAGAGGGGAGAAAGGGGAATGGGACAGGTTACTAGGGAGAACCAATGACTTTGGTAATGTCTTAAACTACAGGAAAAAATAAGCAGGTGATTATTATATGAATCTTAATACTTTTTAGCATGTCTTAAAATGCTGCTTTACATAGTAGTAAATTTATGTAACAAGGATCAGAAAATATAAACTGCTGAAAAAATAATAAATGCATTGCATTTATGAATAATATTCATAAGGCGTTAAACTCTGGCCACTTTTAAATCACTTGAAAAATGGTGTCTGTGGTAATTAAATGTCTACATATGTGTGTGTATATATACACACATATATATGTATTTATAACCTTGAAAAATATTATTTTAGTGTTCTTATCAATCTACAGAACAAGTGAACTAAAACCATTTCATTGTCTTAAGTCCAGAAAAAAGATACCATATTAGCAGGAACAAATTGGTATCATCATAAAACTCTGTTTTTTATTATGTGCAGGTAATCAAATGCAAAATGAAACTAGTTGAATTGAAAAATTGGTTTAAATTACTAAGAAAAAATATTAAAAGAATACCTGAAACCTTACCTACTGTCGCCTCTTTTTTTGTCTGGGTATTTTCTCTTTTCACAGAACATCACATTTCATTCTGTGACTCAGAACAGGTTTTACAACTTCTTGGCCCTTTGGACTAGCAACTTCTAGATGTCTCACAACCAGTTCTAGACTAATTACAGACACGCGAGATCCCACCTAGAACCAAAAGCCTTTAGTTTTCTAATGTCTAGGAAAGGATTAAAGGATGTAGGTTGAAGACTTCCAGAAAGCCGTGCATTTCAAAAGGACGACTCGTTCCCGAGTCCTAGAGAAGAGGCGGAATCCGAGAGAACGTGAAGGCGCATGGGCTTCAGGAGCAGGTCGGGAAACAAAGCAGGACCAGTTTAAAAAAAAAAAAAAAAAGTTGGTAAGTTTCAGCGTGGACACTTACCCTCCGGCAAGACTTAGGGTGTTTGATCAGAGACGTAAAGGACACCCAAAATGACTCGAGATACACTGGTGTTTTCCGCTTAGCTTCACTAATAACCAAGAATTCCCAGTTTGATTTCTGGGACACCAGATGCCTCCCTTCTGATTCCCCATTTCTCCCCATCAAGTCTCTCCTGCACCTTCTCCCAGCCTAAAATACTGAATTTCGACCCGTTCCCTGGACTGAGTCACCTCTCTGCGTCTCAGAACATCTGTGTCCACCGAGAGCCGGGCCTCCTGCTGTCCCCTCGGGCGGCCAGACCCTCTGCCACGGATTCGAGCCATCGCGCAGCTCCGTCCTCACCTTGGTTACAGAAGAGGCTCCACAGTTTAGCGAAGATCAGCCCCATCATGAGCACCTGGGCCGGCCGCGGGGGTCCCTGAGCAGCAGTTGCCGCTGCGCCGGGGCCCCCACCGCGGCGCGGGCTGCGGAGCACCAGGGAGAAGCCGGCGGAGACGGCGCGGGAAGGGCACGGGCGAGGGGACGGTCGATCGGCCGCTCGGCCAACGGCCCGAAGGCGCCGCGCCGAGTCCCTACCGGATAGTCCTTTGTTTCGAGCCCACTGAGCCCAACGCCGACCCGTAGTCCCTTTGGTCTGAACCCACCTTCCCACCAAATCCTTAACCAGACCCCATCGCCGGAAGAACGGCACCTGACGTAGTCGCGCTTACGTCAACCCACGACTTCGACGTGGCGCTTCCTCCGGTGTCGTTTCCGGTGTGCGGACTCCGAGCGGCCGGTCGTGGAGATGGAGGGGCGTTGTGCGTGGGAGTCGGGGGATTCCCGCGTTGAGTGTTTTATCCCTGTTTGGGCTCGTGCCGCGAGCTCCTTCTCGAGTCTCTGCCGCCTGGCAGGTGCTCCCTGACCTCCGGACCCCGGGGCGGACTGCAGTTTGTCGGCGCTGCCTCCTTTGGCTGCCCTTTCGCTGCGCACAAGTGGGAAGTGCCTCTCAACTGACCTACCTGCCAGGCTGCTTGGGGTTCCGCCTTGATTCTTAATTCTGCGTGGAGTTGACTGGGAGAGGATCCAGGGCCTGCCTGCAGCCGTCGAGTTCGGTTTTGTGATTAACTTAAGGGCTCCCAATTTGGCCACGCCTTTGGTTTTTTTGTGGATCCCAAGTCCGCCAAATAAGAAAATAACATTTTCTGACGTGTTACTTGGAAATAACGTCCTTTAATGAAAATGTAATCTCAGTGGTCTCTCCAGTTCAACAAAATAGAAGGAAAAGCTACCAGTGCTGTACTTGAAGCAAAACAGAAACAAATTTCATGGGGAAAAAAAATAGTCGTAAAAGAGAAACAGATTTCATGGGGGAAAAATAACAGTCGAACTAGGGAATGAAAATGGGTATACCGAACATAACTTAGCAGAAACTATTATAAGCTGATTTCAGAGAATACTTGGAAGAATTGGCTGCAGCTGGAATTCAGTTTATTGCTCAGTTAACTAAGAAGTCTGAGTTAATGTATAAACCATTTCGCTACATAATTGGTTAAATTTCATTTTCTCTTTCATGGTTAGAGTCTCACAAATACAGACGTTTCACAGCCTAGGATCGAAAGTAACTAATTACCCTGAAACCAACTGAAAGAGCGAACTTAATTGAAAAGACTATATGGACTTTGTTCAGGTGGTAGATTTTACCCCTAGCACTAAGTCCTTTTAATACGCCAAAGATAGGCATAGCCTCGCGTTATTGCTCTTTGCTTTACTGTTCATCACAGTAATTGCTGTTTTTTTACTAGACCCTCCACCAGCAAAACGATTACACGTTCATTTAGACTCAGATCATTAATGGGTAGTATTTTTTAGCAATAAAGTGTTTTTTACTTAAGGTACATTGTCTTTTTTTTTTTTTTTTTTTGCATTATATAATGCTATTGCACACTTAATAGACTGGGGTAAAGTGTAAACATAACTTTTTGTTCTGATGACGCACATCTTCCCAGTGTTACGATTCAAAGACCCTTTAAGCCTAATATGTGGGATAATGTGCTCCAACTTTCTAATATTAAAAGCAGCCCTGGCCGGTTTGGCTCAGCGGTTAAAGCGTCGGCCTGTGGTACAGAGAGACCCGGGTTCGGTTCCCGCTAAGGGCACGTACCTCGGTTGCAGTTTGTCCCTGGCCCTGGTTGGTTGTGCGGGTGGCAGCCACTCGATGTGTCCCTTCATGTCGATGTTTCTCTCTCTCTCTCTTCCTCTCTCTCCCTCCCACTCTATCTGAACAAAAAATGTCCTCGGGTGAGGATAAAAAAAAAAAAAATAATAATAAAAGCAATTTTTAACCTCCCATATAGAGGAAAAGGTGTTTACTGAGCCTATGCAAATTAGCTTAATTTTCATAACCATGCATTGACCCATAAATGTAAGTGCTTTTGTGTTTGTGTTAATAGAGAATTAAAGGAACACTTGTAGTCCTCATTTTATTAAACAGTTAACTTTAGATTTTGTAATTTAGCTTCAATTGTTACACTTTTCTATAAACTACATTATTTTTCTCTGGCTTTCAGATTCCTAAGAAACAGTATCTGAAAAAAAGCATTTTTTTGCAGAGCTTGAAGCACAAAAACCATTAAACCTATATATTTCTGAAAAATTTTTATGGTGGTCTAATGAGACAGTACATCTGAATTGTTCGTTCACTTTTAATTAGCTGGAATGAATATATTTGAAGAACACTGGTGATTTTTTTTTGGTTCTACTAGTTTGAAATGTATGAAACTTTTGTTATCAACTTCTAATTTACTCTTATGTTTTCTGCAATTTATCATGACAAGACTGTTCTAATATTTTACAAATAATTTTTCACATTAAAAAAACTTATTGGTAGATTTAAAAATTGTAAGTTTTTACTAACTGGAAGGAAAGAAAACTAGTTAACTGAAAAACAACTATGATTAATCAGACTATATTATGGATTACTTAAATAGAAATCATGCTGATGTACCATAACTATTGATCTGTTAGAAAAAAAATACATGTTCATATTGTATATATGTATCAGTTATATAAATTGTAGTAGGAATACCCGTAAAGAATTTAATCAAACTAGAGAATTTTGAGTAATGTGCTTTTTAAATGTAGCATTTTTAACATTTGTGATTTTTTTCTTAAAACATCACTTAAAAACTAGTTTCGCCCTGGCCGGTTTGGCTCAGTGGTTAGAGCGTCAGCCTGCGGTCCAGAGAGACCTGGGTTCGGTTTCCACTAAGGGCATGTACCTCGGTTGCAGTTTGTCCCCGGCCCTGGTTGGTCATGCAGGAGGCAGCCACTCAATGTGTCCCTTTCACATGGATGTTTCTCCCCCCCCCCTCTCTCCCTCCCACTCTATCTGAACAAAAAATGGAAAAGTGTCCTGGGGTGAGGATAAAAAAAAATAGTTTCAATGTAGCCATTGATCCAGAGGAGGTAACACTGTTCTATGGAATTGTTATAATTTGAATGTAAATATATCTTGAATTCATGAAATAAGAAAAATTTCATAAAGGTGGATCTTCTGAACTGTTCATTGGAAATAACTACAACCAAGGTACGTGCCCTTAGTGGGAACCGAACCCCGGACTCTCTGGTTCACGGAAAGATGCTCTAACCGCTGAGCAAAACTGGCCAGGGCTGCTTTTATTTTTTTTAGAAAGGAAGGGAGAGAGATAGAAACGTGGATGTGAGAGAGAAACATTGATCAGCTACCTCATGCAAGCCCCCTACTGGGGATTGGTCCTGAAACCCAGGAATGTGTCCTAACCAGGAATTGAACTGTTCATGGGATGATGCTTAGTCCACTGAGCCACATCAGCCAGCCAACTAGGGAATTAAAAATCAATAAATCTTATATCCTCTCTAATAGTCCTTAGAATAAACTATTATAAATTAACATCATATAGTAGTTGGAAGAACTGGCTATAGCTGGAATTTTATTCAATTTAGTACTCAGTTAACTAAGATAAATTACATTGCTTGAACCAAAAACCCAGGGACAGCATGTTCTGCCAACTAGGAATGAAACTTAAGACCCTTAAAAAAAAAAAAAAAAAAAAAATCAGAACAAAACCTTTAAGATAATGTTCACTGTGACTTTAGCCTAGTTGATCAGTCTCCAGATGAGCTGAGATTGATAGATTTCCAGGCTTTCTAGACTTATTTTTTCCTAATCCCCTCATGCCTTGTTATGAAATTATTGAGGAATAGTTGGGTTTGTGGGTTTGTTTTTTGGTTTTCTGGGTTTTTGTTTGTTTTTGTAAGGTTAAGATTTGGAGTATTGCAAACAGACTTAAGACTGTAAGATTACATCCAAGATTTTTTTTGTCCCCCTCCCATATTAGGGGCCTCTGAGAACAACCACCTAAATTCTTATAGGGGTATTTCTTTGCTTAAACAATATGTATTCACAATGCCAATTTCAGGTTTGTAATATATTTCCTTGGACCCAACCTTAGAACACCGAAAAGCCTCTTCATTAGCATAATGGTCAACACAGTAATGTCTGGTCACATGTGCTGAACTAATTTACAGCAAATATGTACTTTATCAGCATTTTCCCCCCTAGTTCACACAGATGTCGATCTATTTATCTGGTCATTCAGTACTTGAGTGCCAATTATCTGTTAGGTACCGAGTATGAAGTGGTATGGTAAAGGCACTATGCTCTCTGAGTTTACAATCTAGATCAATTTGTTCCTCCCTATCCCTTAGCTCCTAATTCCTGATTCCAACCATTATTGGTGCTATGGTCACCACGATGTTGAGACTGCAAAGATTCCTTTGGAAATGCCTAGTCTAGACATTTTTCCTAATCATTTGCAGATGATTTAAACATGGAACAATCCCATGAACTTATTGGAGAAGTATGTCATGGTGGAAAGAGTAAGCATTAGCTTTAGAAGCCAGGTGGCTATAATCAGTATCCTGACTTTCTCACTAATTGTGATGCTGTGGAGAGTTATTTCAGACTCTGTAGTCTTGTAGTCTTTTTTTTTTTTCACTCGTGTGTAAGAGAGCTAATGATAACCCCCTTGCAAGGTTGTTGTGTAGCACAATGGCTATAAGTTAAAATAGTTTATTTTATTTTTTATTCTCACCCGAGGACATTTTTCCATTTTTTGTTCAGATAGGGTGGGAGGGAGAGAGAGAGGAAAGGAGAAAGAAAAACATTGACGTGAAAGGGACACATCGAGTGGCTGTCACCCGCAGGACCAACCAGGGCCAGGGACAAACTGCAACCAACATATGCGCTATGGGAACTGAACCCTAATCTCCCTGGACCACAGACTGATGCTCTAACCGCTGAGCAAAACCAGCCAGGGCATTAAAATAGATTTTTACAGAACCTGGCTGATGTATCATAGCAAGTAGCTTTTATACTTTTTAAAATGTTAGTGGTGAGAACAAGAAAGAAAATGACCCAAGCATAAACTCTTTCCTACAGTTATGTATTAATAATGAAAAGTAACTGCAAAAAAAAGCAACAACAACAAACCACTGAGGCAGAAGAATTATTTTTAGTTTTCCAATCAATCGCAAAATGGTTCAGTGACTTTTATTAGGCGCCTTCTCTCTTCGAATCTTTTTCCTCAACTGTAGCATTAAAAGATTATGCCAAAGGTCTTTCGAGCTTTAAAGTATAAATCAACTAATTATATTATCTATGGATTTTTAAGTTTCACCTAAGTATCCATTAACCCAGCTTTAGAAAATCTCAATAATGTTGACTCACAACTGAAGTCAGGCCTGTATGCCTGAAAAAGTCATTTCACGAAATCAAAGGGTGCTGATAGGTCCAAATAAACTTTGACTTCATCCTTTCTTTGGAGGTCATCTAGCACGGAACTACCGGACCTGTCACAGATTCAGGGCACTAAAGTCTTCGACTCATTCCATGCCATTTCCCCATTTCCCCATTTCCCTCAGCCCCGCGCCCTCCGAGCCGCCTGGCCCAGGGCTGGATCTGTTTGCTCCCTGGGAAAACCCGGTCCTTAACCCCTCCCCCACCCGCACCGGCCCTCGGCACGTGGCTGCGCCACTCGCGGAGCTCGGGAACTCCGGCGGCGTGACGTACAGCAGTTTCCAGCCGCGGATTGGTCGGCGGGGAGGGCGGGGGTGGGCCGCGTCGCCGGAAGTGACGCGATCTGGAAGCGCTTTCTGCCGAGAAAGTGGGGACTCTGGTTTGAAAATTGGGCCTTAAGGTTGGGTGCCACTGAGCCGGTGACGTGTCCAGTTCGTAAGGATTCGCTCCTTGTGCCTTTTCAGTGCAACGTGCGTGGCATTACCGCACAGCGACTTCGCGAGCGTCCCTAAGGCGGGGCCGAGGACGGCTGTGGCGGAGGCGCGGAAGCGGAGGCACACTACTGCGCTGGACAAGTCTGGATGTCCCTTCGCTCTTGGAATTTACCGCGTCTGAGCGGCACGACTTCTGTGCTTTCGGCGGTGCCTGCACGCTGTGGGTGGCATTCATTGCCCATACGCTGGCCGCTGTAATTCGGCAAGAGAAAAACCATCGTGTTCAGCGTTTCCCTTGGCAATAGGAAAAATGTCTATTTTCCCTAAAATATCTTTGCGACTTGAGGTTGAAAACTATCTTAAAGAGGGCTTTATGAATAAGGAGGTAGGTCAGATAAACATGTTAAAGGATATTTGCAAACATTCAAATATTTCCACACCCTAGAGAAATAGACAAAAATCTGGAAGGAAACTTAATCTTTACAGTCCTTGTTTCATACTACTTGTCTTCCCGAGTGTAAGAAATGCCAATATCTGCCCTCGGGTATTTAATTAATGCTTTCCGAGAGAAAGGGTAAATGAGCTATATTCTAACACTTAGAAAAGGGAACGAGGGGAGGGGAAAAGCGGTTATGAACCTGGCAGTGGCACTGACGAGCTTACAAAGATGAACAAGAAAAGCCCACCTGTCCTGGAGAATTTGTCCTGTTGGAGGACACACGCCTGATCCTAGAGCGCTTGCTCTGGCGCTCAGGTGGGAGATGCTATGATTTGTTGATTGCCTCTTAAATGCCACTCCTTGTGCTAGATGATGTGCAGAACTTTACATCTCGCTCCTCGAATCTCTTTTGGTAGAGATTTCCTCCTCTCTGACCAGCTCTGATGTCAGAGAACAGTGCAAAGAATCATGTACTGACCCAAATTGACCCAGCTTTCAAATAACAATACTGAAATCAAGCTAAAAAGGTACAGATTTGTAATTTCTCTAGGCAGTTTCATATTTTCCAAATCTTAGGAATAAAGCCACTTGAATGTTATTTGTTTTTGAAATGTTACTGAAGCCATGACCTTTAGATTTGATTTCTATACTTTATTTCCAACTATTATGTTAAGAGGCTGGACAGTGAGAAAATATTCTCTCATTTCAAAGAACTTAAACTATAAGGAACATAGTAAGAGAAGTGGAGGCATTCAGCATTGTGTTTATCAGCAATTTTGAAAATGGTCAACATTTTTCATAAAAGAAGATGCAGATACCTTTTTTGACACCACCTTTGCTTCAAACCCACTAACTATGATTTCACAAAAAGAAAACAAAATTTCTTTGTAGCCTGGCCAGTGTGGCTCAGTGGTTGAGCATTGACTCATGCACCAACAGGTCGCTGGTTTGATTCCCAGACAGGGCACATGCCCAGGTTGTGGGCCCGATCCCCACTGGGGGGCATGCAGGAGGCAGTCAGTTGATGTTCTCTCTCATCAATGTTTCTGTTTCTCTCTCCCTCTCCCTTCCTCTCTCTCTAAAATCAATAAAAAAAATAAAAATAAAATTTCTTTGTAAAAAGCACCAACGGTAAAGGAATATTCAGTTTTTTGGGTTTCTTTTTAAAATAAGCCTTGAGAAAGTACCATTACTCTTAGGCTGGCAGATTTGTATTCTGGCAAGTGGTTTATAAAGATTCTGTGAGGCAGTGTATAGTCAAAGATGACAAAAATGGAGAAATGGGTGTCTTGAAAAAGCTTCAGTTAATGCAAGGGAACTTTGTTGCTTGAATCTGTTACTTCATTTCTGACACATATCTTTGCTACCCAGCTCTTGGACGGTATCTGTTATGTTTACCAATAACACTTAAAAAGCTGATGTCATGTGGGATCTTTGGATGATGGTATCAGTGTTATTTATTCAAATTTTGGTGTTTTAAAAGATTAATAACCAATTTTCTCTAGGATACGAGGTTAGCAAGTAAATAGCTCTACAGAAGTGATACAACAGTTAATGCATTATAAGTAAGTAGAATGATATTCTGAATTTATATGGATAAACATAGTAGATATTAACATTTTGAACATGTTAATATCTACTATGTTTATCCATATAGTAGATATTAACATGTTCAAAATGTTAATAATGCTTTGAAGTTGAGGCAATAGTTTTCTCTTTACATAAGGCATTTTGTTAGGTGTTTATTACCACTGTTAAAACTAAGAACCCTGTGAAGTAGTATTGGCATTCCTTGAGTGTTACTAACATAAACAGTAGAGCAAAATGAAATGGAGGTGAACAACTGCTGAAAGATGTTTATAAGATGGAACAAAGGTATATGCATATTCTGCTTAATATTTTTAATTAATACAATGAAATCGAAACAGTAACTTGTTCTCTTCTTTTCAGATTGTATCAGCTTTTGGTAAAGAAAAAGCAGAAAGGAAGTTTGAAACTCTGTTAAATCACTTGTCACACCCGCCATCATTCACAACTGTCAGAGTAAATACACATCTAGCCTCAGTGCCACATGTGAAAAATCTGTTATTGGATGAACTTCAGAAGGTTTGTGCAAATTCTTTATGCCATTGTGCACTTAATTACATTTCTACAGTCTATGTCATGTTGCTCCCCTCTAAAATCCTATGAATGATATAATACTATTTTACAAATAAGGAAATTGAGGATCATGACTGTTAAATTCTTCAAGGTTACAAAGTGAGTGGTAATGCTAGACCTTGAAGCTAGCACTTCTGATTCTGAGTTTGTTTGTAGTGATTGGATAGGTGTTCAGTTTCATCATTAAAATACATGTGAAGAGGTCCAGTCTAATCCTCTAAGTCTGTGTTTTTTTTTAATAAGCAGTATATGACTTTTGAGAGGGCAGATTGTATAGCTGAGGTGAACCCAGAGATAGGGAAGTACCTAATGATTAATTGTAGGATTACATTTTTTTTTTATCCTCACCTGAGGACATTATTTTCCATTTTTTTGTTCAGATAGAGTAGGAGGGAGAGAGAGGAAGAGAGAGAGAGAGAGAAACATCAATGTGAAAGAGATACATCGAGTCGCTGCCACCCATACAACCAACCAGGGCTGGGGACAAACTGCAACCGGGGTACGCACCTTTAGCAGGAACCAGACCCGCGTGTCTCTGGACCACAGGCCAACGCCTCTAACCACTGAGCCAAACCGACCAGGGCGTAGGACTGTATTTTTAACTCACATTGGTGAAAAAAACAAAACAAAACAAAAACTGATGCATTAGTACCTTATTATCTTTAATAAAAGCAGGAAATTACAACAATATAAAGAATATATTTTTAAATAAAACAACGCAAATTATTTTTTTGTTCAACCATAAAATAATTTTGGCATATATATTTTCTGTATGTGAAAAATAGTATTCTAAAATGGCATTTTATAAGTTCTAAACTAAAATAATATTTATATTGTCATAATTTGCTTTCAAAAGCTGTGCATTTTGTTTCATATGCTGTGCATTGAAATTTGCCTCCAGCCCAGTTCTTGGGGCTCAGTGGTTGAGCGTTGACTCATGCACCAAGAGGTCACAGGTTCGATTCCCGGTCAGGGCACATGTCCAGGTTGTGGGCCAAATCCCTAGTGGGGGGCATGCTGGAGGTAGCCAGTCGATGTTCTCTCTCATTGATATTTCTATTTCTCCCTCTCCTTTCCTGTCTCTCTATAATCAATTAAGAAAAGAAATTTGCCTCCAAAGAAATATAAAGTGGAGGAAAACATGTCTGAAGGTGATAATTCAAATTACATTTTGTAGTTATTAAAGCTCTTGGAACAATTAACTTGTAGGTGTCAGCAGACCTATTTCAACCTACTTACTATGTAAATTAAAAGCAAGAGGCAAGCATGATTAAAGGGTGTCCATTTGTATATTCCTGTCTGTGTTATCAGTTTGCTCTAGATATGTTCAGAAACTTTAATAAAAATATTACTAGTATCGATTCTCTTTAAGAACGATTCTATACATGTCTTTCCTTTTTTTAAAATCCTCACCCAAGGATATGAGGATATGGTTGGGTTTTATTGTTTGTTTGTTTTTCTTTGATTCTAGAGAGAGGAAAGGGGAGAGGGAGAGAGAGAGAAACATCCATTGGCTGCCTCCCATATGCACCCCAACCAAGGATTAAACCCAGAACCTGGGTATGTGCCCTGACTAGGAATTAAACCTATGACCCTTTAGTGCTCAGAACGAGTCTCTAACTACTGAGTAGCACCGGCCAGGGCCAGTTCTATAAAGTTCAAATTGTGAGTAGGTTATACTGACAATTCTTATAACACTGACTATGTTATTGGAAGAACCAGCTGTGTTATCTGAGTATAAGACTTGGAGAAAAATTAATTTGCGTTTTAATTATCGATAGTGATAATTTCACTAGAGTAATGACATTAGACATAAAATATAAGCAATTCCTCTAAGCAACTTAATTGTTACTTGTATATAAGCATGCATGTATGCTCTCAACCAGTAGAAAGGAAGCTGTTCTGAGGCCCATCAGAGGTCTCTGTAACTGAGGTAGATCCAGATTGTTTTTGTTTCCAACAAATTATTCCTAGAGCTTAGATATTTTAGTCTCCTAGTCTGATGGGTATACAAGATCTCATGGGCTAGTATTGAGGATATGTCAGGCAGAATCACTCTGGGTGGACTTTGGGTCCCTTTCCTTAAAGGTTAAGATTAGACAGGGAAGGTTGGGTCCCAAGCATTGGAAGTTGAGGGTAGAACAGTACCAAGTGCTAGCAGGAAAGGGGTCTTGGAGGAGGTTTTAGACTATGAATTTTCTTTCATCTTTCATGTTCCAAAGCTCCTGTGTGACCTAAAGAAAGGTCTCAAATGGGATGATTAGGTGCTTTGTTCCCAAATTTCTCTAGACCACATATAGAAATTTAATACTTTATAATTTTATTTAGCTAGTAAGGATGTGAGAAACGGGAACTTGTGTACTTTGCAAGTGAGAATGTCAAAATGGTTTGGCCTCCTTGGAAAACAATTTGGTAGTCTTTTAAAAAGTTTTGCATAAACTTACTGTACAACCCAAGAATGGAATGAAAACATGTCCGTACAAATGCTTGAACATAAATATTCATAGGAGCATTATTCATAATATCTAAAAGGTAAAAACTATTTAAATGTCTATCCACTGGTAAATAGAAAAACAATATATTCATGCAATGGAGTATTATTCAGCAATGAAGGTAATGAACTGATACATACTTCAACATTGGTGAACCTCAGAATCATAGTAAGTGAAAGAAGTCAGACATTAACATTGTATATATTGTGTGATTCCATTTATATGAAATGTCTAGAAAAGACAAATGTGTAGAGAAAGATAGTAGATTAGTGGTTACCTGGGTTTGGAGCTAGGTACATGGATTGACTACAGATTGGCATAAGGAATCTTTGTGTGGTAATGAAATTATGTAAAACTGAATTGAGGTGATGGTTGTACAATTCTTTACATTTACTTAAAAAAATTGAATTATACATTTAAAATGGGTGCATTTGATAGTATATAAAATAAACCTCAATAAGGATCTTTTTAAAAGGGTGGCAGAAATAGAAAAAGAAGCAGGTTTGAAAATAAGTTTATTTGTGTTGGTTTTATGAAAGTATGTACATGTGTGTGGTTTTATGGAAGTTTTATGTATTTCTGTATTAACATCTGACAGAAAGGAGAAGAACCTTGGCTTGAGAAGGATTGATCTTTATATAAAAATTTCTGTAGCATAAAGCAAATAGTACTTCTAAAACAAAGCAAAAACAAATGACAGAGTTTATTATCTTTCTTCTTAGAAAGATCAATTGACCACAGTCTGGATACTGTAAGGCCAAACAGTGAGAAAGGGAAAGAAAGAGAGGTGACTGATCGAATGAGAAGTTTACCTTGTACATTTCTTAATAGCTATCTGTTAGATATGGTTAGTCTGAATTATCCTTTGCCTGGAAGAAGCAGAAGTCAAAAGAGCTATTGACTCGGTAGAAATGTAGTTAAATTTCAAAAGTATGAACAGTGTTTTTCTCTTCTAAACTTACAAATAAGTTGATTTTTGAAGTTCTTTTCTAGATAGTATATGAGTACTACAGGACCATGCAAGTGTATGTTATTGTTATTCTTTCATGTAGTTTGTGAAAATTAATGAGTTGATAATCCCTAGCCTGCATGGTAGAGACTTGTTCTCAAGTATTTACATATTGTTCTCTGATAAAGTATATAGTCCTTGCTATTCAGTCCACTATTCTTCTCTTTTTTTCTGCTTTGTGGAGTGCCCAGTCATCTCCTGCCAGCTACAGTGGTGTGCTGGTACATATTCAACAGCCCATTTCTGGAAAAAATAACCCTTTGTGGTGTTTTGGGGATTTAAGTTGTATAAAGACTCCCATTGGGTACAATTTCAAGCTACCAGCATGACCATGGAGTTGGAAATAGATGCACACAATTGGCTGAGATGAGACTGTGTGACCTGGCGCCAGCTCCTGTACCACTGGCCCTGACCTGTTTCCAGTCCGATGGCCAAGATGATAGAGAATACTGAAAGTCCTGAACCTTTGCCAGAAAACATTTATTTCCCTCATCAAAACTGACATGGCATAATGATGGTGACTTCTTTTTTAAAGTAAGTCACTTAAGGTAAACATGGTTTGTATTTATGAAGCCAAATAGTAAGCAAAGTTGAGCCTTATAAAAAGTTGGGACAGCCCGGCCGGTGTGGCTCAGTGGTTGAGCATCGAACCATGAGCACCAAGAGGTTGCTGGTTTGATTCCTGGTCAGGGCACATGCCCAGTTCATATATGGGCCTGATCCCCAGTGAGGGGCGTGCAGGAGGTGGCCAATCGATGTTCTCTCTCATCTCTATTTCTCTCTCTCTCTCCTTCTCCTTTCCTCTCCTCTCTCTCAAAAAAAAAAAAGAACCCTGGCCGGTTTGGCTCAGCGGTTAGAGCATCCGTCTGTGGTCCAGAGAGACCCGGGTTCGGTTCCCGCTAAGGGCACGTACCTCGGTTGTAGTTTGTCCCTGGCCCTGGTTGGTCGTGCGGGTGGCAGCCACTCAATGTGTTCCTTTCACATCGATGTTTCCCTCTCTCTCTCTTCCTCTCTCTCCCTCCCACTCTATCTGTACAAAAAATGGAAAAATGTCCTCGGATGAGGATTAAAAAAAAAAAAAAAGTCAGAACAGCATAGGGAATATAATCAATAATATTGTAATAACTACGTATAGTACCAGGTAGGTGCTAGACTTATTGGGGGGATCACATTGTAAATTATATAATTGTTTAACCACTATGCTATACACCTGAAATAAAATAATATTGAATGTCAACTGTAATTGGAAAAAAAGTCAAGATACTTCAAAATCAGATTATAGAGAATACATAGTTGTTTTGAAGTCTTTGATTTTTGTAGTATCCCATGAAAATATCCCTAACCAAGCTTTCTGCTTTATTAGGTAATGATACTGAAAAGTTTCATAAATTGAAATTTATCATATATATTAATTTTAATAATTCTGTGTGTTTACTTTTAACAGCAGTTTAATGGATTAAGTGTTCCTGTTATTCAACATCCAGACCTTCAGGATGTCTTACTTATTCCTGTTATTGGACCTAGGTTTGTAACTATTTCATTTTCAAATTATAGTCCTCTAAGTAAAAGTTTGTCACAGGTTCTTTATTTACCTTTTGGTGATAATACTGAGTTTTTCCATTAATAGTAATTTTATATAGATAGAAATCCACAAATTCGTAAATGCTGACTTCATACTCTATTTTGGAAAATGTTACAAAAGAAGACTAGGACAGGGCCCAGATACCTCGAGAGTGATACACTTTAGGTCCATTTTGTGTAGTGATTGATATTTTTTTCTCTCTACTTTCTAAAAACTTCCACTCGTTGCCCTGGCCGGTTTGGATCAGCAGTTGTAGCGTCAGCCTATGGACCAGAGAGTCCAGGTTCAGTTTCTGCTAGGGGCAAGTACCAAAAATAAATACATACATACATACATACATAATAAATAATCTTCCATTTGTTTACTTGTATATTAAGAGATTCCATGTTAAATTAAAACTTTCAAAAAACTGTAACAAAAATACAAAACAACATATTCCTACTTTCATAGCTGATGTGTCTGTAAAATTTTATTTATTAATTCACAGTTATGTGAAATTACTGTGTATGTTCTGTGAGTAGAACGGCATTGTTCTACTCGTTTATGTATTTGGAAGGCAAGTTTGACAATGGAAGAAATAGGCTTTCATATTATAATAGGAGCTCTTTTCCCAAGGAATAATTTAAAATCCCTGATTATGGTGTAGTTTTTTTATACCTCTAAGAATTATATATAAAAATGCTGATTTTGTTAAAGCTTTAAAGTAATTTAGTGGTCAACAGTAAAGCAGTTATTTAATAAATTATGGTTTATATGGTCTTTAATGTGGGGCTGCTATTGTTAATAGGATAATTACATTTTTTTTCCAATTAAGAAAAGATATACACAACTATACATTTATTGTATTTATATATAGAAAACATCTGGAAGGTACAACATACACAACTATTAACAGGGGTTGTCTGAGCAGTTAACTGAGGAGGTTGGATTGGGAGAAATGGGGTAAGAGGAGATTTTCACTTGTAACATTTCTTTTTTTTACTATAAGCATGTATTGTCGACCCTCATTTATTGCGGTTAATCAGTTCCAGACTCTACCGTAATAAATGAATTTCCGTGAAGTAAGATTCTTTTTTTATTTATTTACTTTTTAAATTATTTGTATTAATTTGTTTTTGTTACACATGTTTCTCCTTTTTCCCCCATTGACACCCTCCTTCCCATCCCCCCTGCCCCATCCCCAGCATTGTTGTCTATGTCCATTGGTTATGCATACATGCATATAAGTTCTGTGGTTTATCTCTGCCCCCCCAACACCCCCTCTTCTGAGGTTTGTTAGTCTGTACCCTACCTCTATGTCTCTGGGTCAGTTTTGTTCATCAGTTTGTTTAGTTCATTATATTCCACAAATAAGTGAGATCATGTGATACTTGTCTTTCTCTGCTTGGCTTGTTTCACTTAGGATAATACTTTCCAGGTCCCTCCATGTCATCTCAAAGGATAAGAGATCTTGCTTTCTTACAGCTGCATAGTATTCCATTGTGTACATGTACCACAGCTTCTTTTTTTTTTTTTTTTTTTTAATTTTTCCTCTTATTTATTTATTTTTTTATCCTCAACAGAGGACATTTTTCCATTTTTTGTTCAGGTAGAGTGGGAGGGAGAGAGAGGAACAGAGAGAGAGAGAGAAACATCGACGTGAAAGGGACACATCGAGTGGCTGCCACCCGCACAACCGACCAGGGCCGGGGACAAACCACAACCGAAGTACGCGCCCTTAGCGGGAACCAAACCCGGGTCTCTCTGGACCGCAGGCCAATGCTCTAACCGCTGAGCCAAACCGGCCAGGGCTACCACAGCTTCTTTATCCACTCATCTACTGATGGACACTTGGTTTTTTTCCAGATCTTAGCTATTGTAAATAGTGCTGCTATGATCATAGGGCTGCATATATTCTTTCTGATTGGTGTTTCAAGCTTCTTAGGTATATTCCTAGAAGTGGGATCACTGGGTCAAATGGCAGTTCAATTTTTAACTTTTTGAGGTAACACCATAGTGTTTTTCTATAGTGGCCGCACCAGTCTGCATTTCCACCAGCAGTGTACTAGAGTCCCCTTTTCTCCACACCCTCGCCAGTACTTGTTTGATGCTTTGTTAATGGCAGCCATTCTGACAGGTGTGAAGTGATACCTCATAGTTGTTTTAATTTGCATCTCTCTGATGATTAGTGACATTGAGCATTTTTTTATATATCTCTTGGCCATTTGTATGTCCTGTTTGGAGAGTTGTTTATTGAGGTCCACTGCCCATTTTTTAATTGAGTTCTTTATTTATATTCAGTTGTCCCTCGCCACTTCGCACTTCAACTTTCACTTCTTCACTCTGTTGTGGTTTTTTCAAACACTATACTACTTTTGCTCTAAAAATTGATTTTGTAGGTTCCTTATTTATTTTAAGGTGAAATTTTCATAAAGTGAAATGGAAATATCTTAATTAAGTGTACTGTTTCCTAAGTTTTGCCAATTTTTTTTTTTAATCCTCACCCGAACATACTTTTCCTTTCATCTTCAGCTAGAGAGGAGGGCGCGGGAAGAAAGAGAGAGAGAGAGAGAGAGAGAGAGAGAGAGAGAAAGAGAAAGAAAGAAAGAAAGATGTGAGAGAATCACATTGATTGGTTGCCTCCTGCAGGACCCCGACCAGGGCCAGGTACCTAACCACAACCAAGGTACATGCCCTTGACCAGAATTGAACTTGTAACTCTTTGGTCCTTGGCCGACACTCTAACTGCTGAGACAAATTGGCCACTGCAGATTAGTCATATTATACAGTCGTTTAGCTAAGACCCTCCCCAAGCAAGATATAGACCATTTCCATCACCCCAGAAAATTCTCTTGCATTCTATCTGGAAACCACTGTTCTGATTTCTGATGTCTCCTATTTAGTTTTAAACCAATCAGTTACTGCAGTTGATTCCATCACAGGTCTTTTAAGGTTATGCTTTTTGACTCATTTCAGAGTATATTGTGGACATCTTTTAATGATGTCCATAATTTTCCCTAATTCATATAACACTGTTCATTCTTTTTAATAGGTATATAAATAGTGTATTTTATCATTGAGCTCAATTTTAGTTTTTCAGCCCTTTATTAATAGACATTTAATTTTTTACTGTTTTGTTGTTGTTGTGGTTGTTATTGTTGTTATTACCAACAATGAATATTCTTAAAGGTATTTCTTTGTGGACTTATGTAAGCATGTCTGCAGGATAAATTTTACAACATGGAATCACTGGTTTATTGGTATGTGTGTATTTTAGTTTGAGACATATTGCCCTCTAAAAAGTTTTAACAGTTAATGTTTTTAACAGTATTTGAGAGATTCTGATACTTCCATTCTTGCTAATACTGGCCATTTTAGTTCTTTTTAAAACATTTTGATGATTTACCTATAATTTTCTATATTTACTGATTTTACCTGACCCTAATAATCATTTCATTCTATTCCTTATAGTGATCTAGACTACTCGTCTGAATGTTAGTGAATTCTAAAATACAAATGGTGAGTTACTATAGGAAAGTATTCAAAAATCATTTAGGATAGTAGATTCACATACGTACCTTGCATTTCTGAAAGGAGCAAGTCAATTATCTTGTTGTTTTTTAAACTTACCATCACTATTATTATCCCTTGACTTTCCACTATGAAAAGTGAGGAAGTTCTTACACTTAAATTTCCCCTAAAACTCCCACCAGCCAGTTTTTATTTACTACGTTAATTTTTTAACATTGTAAAGGTTTACCACACTTAAATTTCCCCTAAAACTCCCACCAGCCAGCTTTTATTTTCTATGTTATTTTGTTTATGTTTTTAACATTGTAAAGGTTCATCACGTGTTTGTTCTATACACACAATTCAAGTGGATTCAATGCCTGCATTTAGTCCTTAGGACATAGTTTATTCCTGAGTTCTTTATCTTGATTAATCTTTTGGTTAGTTACTACTATAGTCATATATCAGATCTGCAGCACCTTCTTCTATCTCCAAAGTATGTCTCTCATGTGCTCTGTTTACTGTCTTGCTTGAGAATTGTCTGTTCCTTTATATTTAAACAACAACTTGACTGATTATAGTAGTTTCAGGTCACATGTTATTTTCCTTAGCAGTTTGTAGACATTACTTTTATAATCCGGCATCAAGTGTAACCATGAAGAAATCTGAGAAGAAAAAAGAATCATTCCCCTCGTAACAGTATCTTGGTTTTTGTTTGGAGATCTATAGGATTTTTTCTTATTGAACTTTAGAAACTTGGCTAGGATGTAGTTAGTTTTTAATGAACATAGTGTAACTTTTTAGTTATAAGCCTTCCAATAGTTCCTTGAATATTTTTCTCTATTTTCTATTATTAAAACACTGGAACATTGTATGTTGGATTCCTACTGCGGATACTCCTTGTGTTAGGGCACTCCAAAACTACCTTCAGGTTTGGTGACTGGCTAGAAGGACTCAGAGGACTCAGCATGCAGTCATGCTCATGGTGAAGATTTATTACACAAAAGGATACAAAAGCAAAATCAGCAAAAGGGAAAAAGTGTATGGGGCAAAGTCTGGAGGGAGCCAGGCACAAGATTCTCCGAGTCTTCTCCCTGTGGAGTTACCAGGATGTGATTAATTCCTCCAGCATCTAGTTGTGACATGTGTGAAATGGTTGTCTAATAGGAAAGCACATTAAAGATGTAGTGTCCAGGGCTTTTATTGCATGTTGGTCCATGTAGGCACCCTCTACCTAAATTCCAGGCTCCCAGAAAGTTATTTCCCGGAATAAACTGCCTTGCTTATTAACTTAGGCGAGGAGCAACAAAGTTGGTTGCTATTTCCCTTCCCCTCCTTCAACTCCTTCTAGGTAGTTTATCCAGGTTTATTGAAGAAAATGTTGTCTGCCTGTGCCCAGGACTAAGAATTTTCCAGAATTAATGAAAGACAACTTTAAGACGTATAGTGTGTCTGAATCCAAAAGGAAAAATAAATCCATGTCTAGATACCCCATAATGAAACTGCAGAACATCAAAGACATAAAGATCTGAAAGTGTAAAAGACAGGAAGCTATTCAGTAATCATATTAAGAGATGTGTGTTGGATATCACAAGATGGGCCCAGAAGACCTGTCAGAATTACAGGTGGCATAATTTGGTCTCTGAATATCTCGTTAAAAGGTTTAGGAAGAAAGGGTTTAAGTTGATGATGTTTTCTAGTTGATTATCAAGGCAGATAATGACACTGTTCAAAACTGGAAACAGGAAAATGAGAAGATTTTTTGGTGTTGCCAAGGATTTGAGTAGTGGATCAGAGGAAAATAACATTGTTTAGGACTTGTTGGGTTTGAATTAACTGTGGGACACCTAGATATAGCTACTTGTGGGTAATTAGAAATATCAATTCAGAGTCTGGAAAGGCTAAGCATAACCATACATGGATTATTTATGTAAGTGATTATTGGAATCATGAGATTGCCAAGGGATAGGATGCAAAGTGAGAAGAGATGGTACCATGTTTTGGAACTTGGGGCATCAACCTCATTAAGAAATAGAGAATGAGCCGTGGCTGGTTTGGCTCAGCTGTTAGAGCGTCAGCCTGCGGTCCAGAGAGACCCGGGTTCGGTTCCCGCTAAGGGCACGTACCTCGGTTGTAGTTTGTCCCCAGCCCTGGCTGGTTGTGCAGGTGGCAGCCACTTGATGTGTCCCTTTCACATCGATGTTTCTCTCTTTCTCTTCCTCTCTCTCCCTCCCACTCTATCTGAACAAAAAAATGGAAAAATGTCCTCGGGTGAGGATTAAAACAAAAAGAAATAGAGAATGAGCAATGAGAATGTTTGGGACCAGGAAGGAGGAATACGAAGCTGAGTTCAGTGAGACTTGATCATCTGGAGATGATAGAAAGAAGATGGGACACACTTAATTCCCCAAACAAGGAGCTGTGTGACAGCAGATATGAATGAAGTCTTGCCAACCAGGGAAGTTCATTAGAGATCCAGTACTCAAGAATTTTATTCCAGACTGGTCACATTGATACCTCCTGACCTTTGAAAACATCTTTCTGAGTATTAGAAGTGATACCTAGATTTTAGTGATATAAGGAATAAATTGGAAGTGAGAAATTGAAAAGCATTTTTTTAAAAAGTTGGGCAACAAAGGAAGAAAAGAAATTCTTTGTCCATCTTGTTTAAAATATTAATAATTTACCTTGCAACAGTCTACCACTTGAGAAATGTTTTTGAATTCCTTGTATATTGTCTTAGTCTTCGAAGATGGACTTGATTTCTCTCCTAACGCAGTGGTTTGGGGTGCCACCTCATTGCCTTCTATCAGATGGGCTTCCTTCTGTATTTTCTTTTCCCAGATGCCTGTCTTTTAAAAAATCTGTTCTCTCAATATTTATTCTATTTTCAGATTTCTCTTTCTTGTGCACCCATTAATGGGATTATCTAGGGGCAGTCAGGACTAAAAAGGTTATTTAGGGTTCTGGTTGAAACATTGAAAAGGTGAGGACACACTGGAGGTATATTACTGTGTTAAATCTCTCTTGTCTTGTGACCCTAGGAGGAATATAGAAAAACAACAGTGTGAAGCCATTGTTGGAGCCCAATGTGGCAGTGCCGTACTAAGAGGAGCCCATGTCTATGTTCCAGGAATTGTGTCGGCTTCAAAATGTATGTATGAAGGGTTGTAAAAACTAATAATACCAAGAAGCATATGGTTCACCAAGCCTAAAATATTTACTTGTCCTTAACACAGAAAGTTCATTGACCTCTGATCTGTGTGATTGAACAGTCCTAGCTATAGCTAATAGGCTCCTCACTACTGTTGTCTGATTAATGTACTAGACTAATTTATGATACATTAGGTCTTAAACCATTTTTGGAATTGGAATACAATTTCCCATTGTTAATATCATTAGATTTATTACTGAAAATAATTTAATGAAATGACTACAAAACTAAATTTAATCAGCTATATAAATAAACTCTGTACACTGTACAGTTTCGAGGTGTTCTAAGTACATATATACATATGAATGAATGTATGTGCTTATTATTAAAATCTGCCTTAATTACTGTAACAGGAAAACTGTGAAGAAATACCAACAGTGTTAGAGGATTTAGAAAGATTCTTCTGAGGAATTTGAGTGTATGTTTTTAAGAATCTTTTTGAAGGAAACTTAGAAATTTGAGGATGAAGCCAAAATATAAAGATTTATATGGAGTCTTTTAGAGAATATTAGGTTTGCAGAAAAGAATTTAAATTAGAAGATAGCTTTCTTTTTCTGTTTAGCTAACGCCTTCTAGTTAAGGTAGGATATTTTGAAGATGGTTTCATTTTTTTGTTTTCCTAGAAGAAAATCTTCAATTAGATTTATTGTTAGGAACATTTAAAAGTAAGAAGTCATATTTACTTTTAGGGATTATATTGAGATGATGAGCAGTTTGGGCTGCTTTATGCCTACTATTGATGCCCCTAGAGTTCTCCATTCCAGCTTAGAGAGTTTTAACTGTTTTTTTTGTCAAAGTATAGATCATTATACTATGATTTTCTTCTTTCTCTAGGTATGAAAGCTGGCGATGCTGTTTCTGTATACTCTGATATTAAAGGCAAATGTAAGAAAGGAGCCAAAGAATTTGATGGAACAAAAGTGTTTCTTGGAAATGGGATTTCTGAATTAGGCCGCAGAGAAATCTTCAACGGGTTACCTGAACTGAAGTATGTTATTAAGTGTTGTTTGAGGGAAATAAGCATTTTTTAATTTTATTTTTTGTAATTGAAGGCAAATTAAAAACAATGTAAAAAATAGTATACCTATTAGCATTATATGAAAAAATATTTTGGTATAAATTGAACTGGAAAGTTTTTACTCCATATTTCCATGTTTATTTTAGAAAAAATGCTGTTAGGTAACAGTAGATGCTCAGATTAAAGAGTTTTAAGTAAGCAACTAGTCACACTAATTTAAATTATTTTACCTTTCCTTTTGAATTTTATTGATTTGAAATTTTTTCATCTTTGGAGACAATACTTATGTGGATAAAAGATGAATTATATGAACCTATCCAAATCTTTTTAAACACTCTGATATTGTGAAAAGAAAAACTCTGAGTTTAACATAAATTAAAAAGAAAAAAATTTTTTTTATCTTCAACCAAGGACATGTTTAGAGAGAAAGGGGAAGAGAGAGAGAAAGAGAAACAGAAAGAGAAAGAGAGAGAACCCTGGCCAGTTTGGCTCAGCAGTTGGAGTGTTGGCTTGTGGTCCTGAGAGACCCGGGTTCGGTTCCCGCTAAGGGCGCGTACCTCGGTTGCAGTTTGTCCCCGGCCCTGGTTGGATCGTGCGGGTGGCAGCCACTCGATGTGTCCCTTTCACGTCAATGTTTCTCTCTCTCTTCCTCTCTCTCCCTCCCACTCTATCTGAACAAAAAATGGAAAAATGTCTTCGGGTGAGGATAAAAAAAGAAAGAAAGAAAAGGAAACAAAAACATAGATTGGTTACCTTCTATACATGCCCCGACTGGGGATCAAACCCACAACCCAGGTATGTGCCCTGACTGGGTATCAACCAGCAACCTTTCAGTGCACAGGATGATGTTCAACCAACTGAGCTAGGCAAAAAGAAAAAAAAAAGTTTTTTTTTAAATTTATTCTCCCTCCAGGATACTTTTTCCATTGATATTTGTTTTTCTTTTAGAGAGAGTGAAAGGGAGAGAGGAAGGGGGAAAGAGAGAGAAACATTGATGTGAGAGAGACACATTGATTGGTTGTCTCCTGCATGTGCCCCGACTGGGGCTGGGAATCAAACCTACAACCCAGGTATGTGCCCTTGACTGGGAATCGAACCTGAGACCCTTCGGTGTGTAGGCTGATGCTCCAACCACTGAGCTACACTATCCAGGGCTAGGTTGCTGGTTCAATTCCTGGTCAGGGCTCATACCTGGGTTTTAGGTTCAATCCCCAGTTGGGGTACATAAAAGACAACTAGTTGATGTTTTTGTCTCACATTGATGTTTCGCTCTTTCTCTCTCTCTCTATCTCTCTCTCCATCTCTCTCTCTCCCTTCCCTCCTTCCCTTCCACTCTCTTTAAAAATCAATAGGAAAAATATCCTCAGGTGAGGATTAACAACAACAAAAAAATGAATGAATCCAATAAATAAAGTTTAGAAGAAAGTCAGCACTTACATGAATACTTGTAATCAAAAATTAATGTTTGAATTTACTCAAATCAAAATAAAATATAGTTAGTTTTAAATCATCTCTGGTTGCTGCTGGCTCTAAAAAATTAAGTTTGTGGATAGTCCAGTTTCTTATTTTGCTTGATATTTTCGGACTGTTTTAGGAGTTCTGTGGACAGCTCCATCACTCCAAAGTTGACAGCCGTTGTAGACAGCTGAAAGCTGAAAGCTGTGAATTTCTCCATCTAGAGGGAGTTCAGAACAGGCCTCCCCAAAGTGTGCCACTTTGGCACGTGAGCTAAAGGGAATTGAGACCCCTTAGGCTCACGAGAAACTGTTACCTTTCCCTTAAAGAAATAATTTAAATTAGATGCCATGCCAGAATAAGAGTCAACATCAGAAATAACATATGACCTATCTGTGACAGGGCAAACATCTAATTAGTGAACCTCAGTTCTTATTGTCCTGTGAATGAGTTTCCTCTCCTCAGAAGGCCCAGGGTACCTTATCTCATCCTTAGCTCAGAATGTCATATACATCTCATTTTCCTTTCCTGTCTCTGAACATCTCATGTATGTTGGGTCTTTGACTCTCATATATAAAGAGTTCCCATACATACATACATACATAATTGAGTTAGGTTTTTTTCTTTTGTTAATCTGTTTCATGTAGAGTTCCCACACATATGCATAAAATTAAGTTTGGTTATTTTCTCTTGTTAATCTAATCTGTTCATGTGGATTTAATTATTAGACCAGCTGAAAGAACCTCGGAAGATAGAGGAAAATTCCTTCCTCCCCCACATAGGACTGGACCACACCTCTGATTCCTGGAATAGTTTTTCATGTAGCAGTTTGGGTTTATAGTTGAAATTAATTCTTCTGAAATAGGTTATTGGATTCCCTAGCTATAGTTAGCAGTACTTTCCAAATGGCCAAAAACAAATATTGTTTCCCTCTTAGAAGTCTTTATGAATGTGAAGCTAAAACATAGATCTTCTGTGTTTATCTTTGGTTCTGTAATAGGGGATTGATATTTTGACTGCCTCCTACAGGTTAGTGTAAGTGGTACACTCTTCATCATCTTATCTTGTTTAATGTAGTAGTTCCAGTAACTGTGCCAACACAATTTTCTGAGTAATGTTTTCTTTGTTGGTGGGAGTAGGAAGCAGCCATCTTCCAAAAAAAATGTTTATTTTTTTAATTCAATTTTTAAACCTAGTATGTTATGCTATTATGATTTCTTTACCTACCTATGTGAGAAAAGGCATGCTTTCATTACACAGAAATGGTACATGTATACCCTGTTTCTCATTTATACTCTTTATTTCAGAACCAGTTCTACTAGTTTTCAGCTAGTAAATATGATCCCTTTGTTTCTTGAATTCCAGCTGTGTTGAATCATTCATAGATTCATAGAGGTAGATTAATTTACTAACAGACTGTTTATCCTATGAGATCTTGTACTTTGCATTATTATATAGAGATACATATTACAAAAATAGTTTCAAAAGTAACGTAATCCCATAACTGAGCAATAATTGGTTTAAATTATTCTTTGTCAGGTTAAGTTAAACACTGTATAGATGGACATGCTTGTACTGGTAGGTGTGGTGTGAAGGAGATAGTCAGAGGGGTATCAGATGTTCTTTGCTTTTTATTCTACTCATTTGTGCCCAAATGAAAAATTTACATAACTTGATCCTTTTTAGTTTTTCTAATGGCTTCCTACTGCAGGTAAATATTCAGGAACAATTCACTGGTATATTCTAAGTATTTCGGTCTTGAGTAAAATGAGGTGTTTAAAAGGTAGTATAGCCTGGCCGGTGTGGCCCAGTGATTGAGCGTTGACCCCTGTACCAAGAGGTCACTGGTTCAATTCCCAGTCAGGGCACATGTCCATATTGTGGGCCTGATCCCCAGAGGGGAGCATGCAGGAGGCGACCAGTCAGTGTTCTCTCATCGAGGTTTCTATCTCTTTCTTCCTCTCCCTTCTTCTCTCTCTAAAAATCAATAAAGAAAAAAAATTTAAAAAATTAAAACAAAAGGCAGCATATGATATTTACATGCAACTTGTATATGTTCCTAGAAATGGAGTTTGTATAGACAATGTAATTTATACAGACTTAACACCAGATTTCCTTCTTTTCAGAGGAATGGGTGTAAGAATGACAGAACCAGTGTATCTCAGCCCCTCATTTGACAATGTGCTGCCCAGCTACTTATTTTTACAGGTAAGTAATTGTAAAAATAAAATATTCAGTGACGCTGAAACATATGACAGTGAATTATTTGTAATGTAAGGGAGTTTTTTGACTTCTATTAATATATTTTTTGTGGTCTATTTATATATTTTCTGATCTACTTTGGTTAAGCAGTAAGGAAAAACTTTGTAAGCATTTTTTTTCTCAATTGATTAACTACCTTGTTACCCTTTTTACCCAAGAGGGCTTTAATATAAACCTTATAATATAAACCTTATTATAATTATTGTTTTCTACCTTGGAGTATTAATATGTAAATTATACATGCATTTAATATATATATAAGTGTTCATTTGTAACTTTGAGTAAGATCGAAATAATTTACTGCTAAGAGATTTTTGTCAGGTCATTATTAATTGCACTGTTATAATAAGTAATTCGTTTTGCCTTGTTTGGTTTATTAGGTACTTGTGTGTACATTAACTGATTGGTTAACAAACTGGTTAGGTGGTATTATTAAACTGTTGTTGTTATTATAATTCCCAATATAAGAAGAAGATACCAAGATGAGACCTGTTAGGGTCCTTGTACAGGGTTAACCAAGTAAATGGAGCCTTCATATGTTATGTTTGTTTTGCCGGCCAGCCATGGCAGGGCAGGGCTCAACAAAGGGACAGGGGCGCCTGCCAGCACCTCAGTCCCAGTTGGAGCTGCCCCTCTAGCCCTCACCTTGAAGCCAGGCAATTCAGTTCCTCCCCACATGTCCCTGAAACTTTTCCAGCTGCTGCCCTGCACTGGAGCCCAGAGCAAGTGAGTTTGTGAGTGAGTAAGTCTGTGTGCTGGCCCTCTAAGATCTCAGTGGTTGGGATTCTAGAAGGCCCTCCATTTCGCACCGCAATCCTCGCTTGTTTTTACATCTAGAAATTATGAGGACTTTGCTTCCTGGCCCTAGAGCCGTAGGCTAGGGGCCCTGGTGTGGGGCTGGGATCCCTCACTCCTCAGGGGGGACCTCTGCAGCTGAGATACCCCTCCCGATTTTTATTCACTACTCATGGGTGTGGGATCAGCAGGTTCATTGTCTCCACCCTCCTACCAGTCTCAATGTGGCGGCTTCTTTATGTCCTCAGTTATGGGCATTCTGTTTAGCTAGTCTTCAGGCAGTTTTCAGTGATGGTTGTTTTGTAACCTAGTTGTAATTTTGATGTTGTGGGAAGACGTGAACACAGCATTTATCTACACTGTTGGCTAGAAGTCTCCAGAAGCTTTTTAGTTTGATGTAGTCTCACCTGTTTTTTCTTTTATTGCTTTTATTTTAGGCATCAGTTTAAAAAAAAAAATCATTGCCAAGACCTGTGTCAGGGAGATTACTGCCCTTATTTTCTTCTAGGAGTTTCATGGTTTGAAGTCTTGCATTTAAATCTTTAATCCATTTTGATTTGATTTTTATATATAGTGTAAGATAATGGTCAGTTTCCTTCTTCTGCATATGATTTTCATCACCATTTATTGAAGAGACTGTCTTTTCCCTATTGTGTATTCTTGGCTTCTTTGTCATAAATTAATTGACCATGTATGTGTGAATTTATTTTGAGGCTCTCAATCCTGTTTCATTGATCTGTGACTGTTTTTATGTTTTTAAATTTTTGTTTTTGTTGTTAATCCTCACCCAAGTATATTTTTTCCATTGATTTTTAGAGAGTGGAAGGGAGGGAGGGAGGGAGGGAAAGAGAGAGAGTGAGAGAGGGAGAGAGAAAAGAGAGAAACATTGATGTGAGTGAGACACATTGATTGGTTGCCTACTACCCGCACCCCAGCAAGGCTGGGGATTGAACCTGCAACCCAGGTAGGTGCCTTTGACCAGGAATCAAACCCGAGACCCTTTGGTGAGCGGGCTTACGCTCTAACCACTAACCCACACTGGCCAGGGCAGTAACACATTGTTTTAACTACTGAAACTTTGTAATAGAGTTTGAAATCTGAAAGCATGATGCCTCCAATTTTGTTCTTTTTTCTAAAGATTGCTTTGGCTATTTGGGGTCTTTTGTGGTCCCATATAAATTTTATGATTGTTCCGTTTCTGCACATTTAAAAAAAATTACTGGGTGATTTTCTCATGTAGCCTGGATTGAAAAATACTGTAGAGGAAGGTAGTAGATCAGTTGTTTTAAGAAACTGTCATCATTGAAATACTTAATGAAGCTTCTTTACTTGAACTATTTCATAATTTTTACTTATTGCATGACCAGAAGGTTTTTAATGTGTTACTTACATTTCAGTAAAAATGTCTGTCATCTTTGACCAATTTATTAATCTTATCATTATTAGGACTTAAGCATAACCAGTTGTCTCTCGATAAAGAATCTCCATTAGCCACATACGTGTTTTAGTATTTTCGTATTAGAGTTCAATTTTTAAATATTTTTGGAATAGGCGAGGCTGTTGGGAGAAACTATCTGTAACAGGTTAAGCTGATGTAGTGTTTAGTGTGGAGGGACTGCTTTTCACGTACCTCCGTTTGCAGTGATGTTAGTGCTGCCTGTATTCACAGGGAGGGGGTGTGTGGAAACTTGCTTGTGTGTGTCTCCTTTCTCACCATTGACTTTCTGTCTTGAACTGGTGATCTTGGATTCATCGAGAGTGTGGTAACCTCACAGTTCTTGAGGACATACTAATGGATGTAAATGTTTAGGTGTGAGAATGAATTGAAACCTTTAAACTTTAAATAGCCCTATGCTTGTTAGTCTCTACTTTTTTCTTGCCAAGTATTTTTAAAATTTAATTACTTTGTGATATTATTATTTCTTATTTAAAGCTGTCATCCTGTAGTAACAGTCCATATGTAATTAATACTACATAATGTAATTATGTAATTGATACTAATAATGATGTAATATAACATTATACAATCCAAATATAGCTTCACCTTTAATAATCTCAGAATATATTACTAGGTGTCTGTCAGAAATAGCTAATTTTTTTTTACATTTTACTTTTCTCCTACCAAAATTTAGTAATTGTGGGAAGATAGGAACCCAAACATGCCTTTCCATGGCTTTAGCTGCATGAAACTAGGATTTTAAAATGGGAGTTAGATGGTGAAGCACCTGAAAAGATCCAGAGCTTTCTCATCTTTTTAAGGGATCTTTCTCTGGCCTCCAAAGAGAGGTATTGAGAACCACTGAGTTGAGGAGTTGAGAAAGGATAATATGCTTTTTTTTTTTTTGCTAAGTTGATTAGAGAAATGCATTGTGTGTGTGCACAAGTGCGTCTGTGTGTGTGAATATCCTGTGAGGTCATAGGATGTTCTAGGAATCAGAGAATTTCCTGACATCAGTATAGTTGCAAGAAATGTACTCCTGGCAGAGGATGCTGTACTGTATCACCTCCAACAATTTCTTTACATTCTCTGATTCTGAAATTTAAGTTGATTTAGTATCATTGAAATTTCTTTACATTCTCTGATTCTGAAATTTAAATTGATTTAGTATCATTGATAATTGATTTTTTTCCTTGTAGAATTTGCCATCTGCTGTAGTAACTCATGTTCTGGATCCTCAACCTGGGGAGAAGATTCTAGATTTGTGTGCAGCACCTGGAGGCAAAACAACACACATTGCAGCACTAATGCACAATCAGGTAAGACTGTCTTCAGAGCAGGACTGCTGCAGTGTGTTCCTTTTTTCAGTGATGACGGTGGAGCGGCACGAACTAATGAAACATTATGCAGACACATTTATTTCATGTTCAACCAAAGGGAAGAATTTGCAGTGATGTTAGTCATCACGTATTAGGTTCAGGAGACAGTTTTCACTTGTGAAGAATACCTCAAGACCTTCTTGAATCTCAAATTTGCTAAGACATTTATAGAATTCTTTTGTCATAAAATTAAGCTTAAGTGAAACACGTAAGAGATCTTTCTATGTTGTTAATTATACCACTTTTTAAACTATTAAAATAAATTCTGCCACTAAAAATTGATTTGACCATACATTTTTAAAGTGTAAAAATATATATACACGTACATGAATGATAAATATGTATACACACACATAAATGTGTGTATGTTCTTCTAGTTTTGAGATTCATAAAAACCTTACAATCTGGCTTAATTATAAAACCTGTTTCATTGTTAAAATTAAATTAAGTATGTCCTTGTATAACTTTAGCTCATATTTTACTGATTTTTCCCTATGCATACATATTTGCCAGTGATTTTCTTTTATTATGGGCTAGTTTTATCTGTGTTCAAAACTCAATGTGGCCTTGTAACCACTCTAAAATTCAACTAAGATTCCTTAACTCAAGAAGGATATAGCCAGCTCATACTAACTATCTTTTGTTTGTTTCAAATCTGTAAAACTAAATGGTTCCTAAAATACTTACACATGCCCAGTATCTTCACCAATAATAGCTTTCTTGATTGGGAATCAAATTTTAAATGATTGATTCATTGACTGAGTAAACATATATTTTGTTAGTACTTTCTATGTGTCAAGTACTGGTGATAGAGCAATAAACCACACTGAACAGAATTTCCTTCTTCATAGAGCTTACATTCCAGTAAGAAGAGACAGATAATAAATAAGTGAATAAAAGAATATGGCATATATGACTATATATGAGAAGGTCTGTGGTGAAAAATAAAGGAGGGTTAAGGGAATTGGGAGTATTGAGGGGAGAGAGTGAGTTTGTAGTTTTAACTAGGGTGATGAAGGGGACCCACACTGAAGGTGGTATTTGAGGAAGGACTTTAAGTTGGTGAGCAGTATGGAGGTTTGTGGAGAGAATCTTCCAGTTAGAGGAAACAGTAAGTGTAAATGCTCTCAGTCTGGAGTGTGCCTGACTTGCTGGAGGAGAGGAGGCAAAGAGATCTGAGAGGTAGGACAGATGGGATGGAGGGGCATTTGGGTAGAGCAGTTCTGCAGGGTCTGACAGGACTTTACTTTTACTCAAGTGATAGGAAGTCATTTGAGGTTTTAAGTAGAAAAGTGACATAAGCCTACTTTTTATTTAATGTATTGTTCTCGCAGCCGCATTGAAAACCCACTGTAAGAGGGCAAGGGTGCAATAGACAAGTTAGAAGACATAGTTCAGGAGAAAGGTGTTGGGGAGGTAAGAAGTAGTCAGATTATGAATATGTTTTTAAGGTAGAGTGCTAGAATTGATAGATTGATTGGATGTGGGTTGTGAAAATAAGAGAATAATCTAGAGTGACCCCTAAGGTTTTTGGCCTGAGGAACTGGAGAGAGAGTTGATAGATAGGGGTGACTGTGGGAGGCATAAGTTTTGCAGGGAAAAATCAGAAATTTAGTTTTCAGTATATTAAAGGGAAGTGTATTAGATGTCCAAAAGATGACTTGAGCAGGCAATTGAATATTTTAGTCTAGAGTACAGGAGAGATGTCAGGGTTGGAAAAATACATTTGGAAGTCATCAATATATAGATAATATATAAAGGTATAAAACTGGTGGCAATAGAAAGTACAAGATGCCAGGAAATTGAGACTCTTAGGTACTGTATGCCAACATTCAAAGGTTGAAGAAATGAGAAGGAATGGCCAGGGATGTAGGAGGAAAACCAGAGGTGTGTGATATCCTGGAAGCCATGTACAGAAAGGGATAGAGGGACCACGAAGAGATCAGCTGTGGCACATGTTGCTAGGCCACATGGGATGAAGACTGAGAGCTCCCAGAGGATTTGGCACCATGGATTTGATTGGTGACTTTATCATGAGCAGTTTTGGTGAGTGGAAATGTTTGGGTTGAGACTGAGAGGAATCAAAGTGGATTGAGAAGGCCCCTTTGAGGAGCAGGAGTTTTTACAAGACAGCAGAGAAATGGGGCAGTAGTTGGAGGTAAAGTCAGGGAGTTTGTTGTTGTTGTTTTTTTAAGGGAGGGAAATAAAGTTTGTGTGTTAATCAGAAAGATATACATTGAAAGGGGAAATTGGTATTACCAGAGGGAACAGGAAAAATTCTCAGAGTAATATCTTTGAGTAGGTGAAATGGGATCAGAATATCTACCCAGACTGCTTTAGATAGTAGCATGAGACAGTTCATTCATGGAAATAGGATTGGAATATTTAATCCATGGACCTTTAAAGTAATTATAGGTATGTAGTTATTGCCAATTTATCAATTGTTTTATGATTGTTTTTTAGTTGCTCTGTTCTTTTTTTTTTCTCTTCTCCCTTCTATATGTGGATGGCATTCTACAGTTTGTGTTTGGGATTCCTTTCACTTTATTTTTTGTTTATGTCTTGTAGATTTTTGGTTTGTGGTTACCATAGGGTTCATATACAGCAAGCTATGTTAATAGCAGTCTATTTTAAGTTGATGGTCACTTAAGTTCAAACACATTCCCAAATCACTACAATCTTTCTTTACCCACTCTGGGTTTGTTTTTATCATTGTTTTTTTTTTTTGTTTTTTTTTTTTACTTATTTTGTAAGTATGTTTTATGTGTATTCCTTAATTTATTCTTGTAATTACACATGACTTTCCTGCTTTTGCCTTTTAACCTTTGTACTATACTAGCTTTATAGTAGGTTGATCCACTGCTTTTACTACTAAATATTTGCCTTTGTCAGTGGGAATTTTATTTTTGCAATATTTTCTTAGTCATGTGTTTGATCTTTTCTTTTCTACTTAAAGAAGTCCCTTTAACATTTATTGTAGTACTGATTTAGTGATGATGAACTCTTTTAGATTTTTCTTGTGTGGAAAATTCTTTCTCTCCTTTGATTCCCAGTAACAGCCTTGCTGGGTACAGCAGTCTTGGTGGTAGGTCTTGAATATTACATGCCAATCCCTCTAGCCTACATTTCTACTGAGAAATCAGCTGACAATCTTCTCTCTTATAGGTAACTGCTAATTTTATGCTGCTTTTACGATTCCCTCATTGTCTTTAACATTTGGCAATTCAATTATGATGTGTCTTGGTGTGGGCCTCTTAGCATTCATCTTATTTGGGACTCTCTGGGCTTCCTGGACTTGTATGTCTATTTCCTTCCCAGGATTAGGGAAATTTCCAAACATTATTTTTCAGATAGGTTTCTGAATCACTTGTTTGCTCACTCTCTTCTCCTCTTGATTACCTGTGTGATGTGAATGTAGGTACGCTTGGTACTGTCCCAGAGGTCCCTTAAATTATTGTCATTTTATGTATTTTTCTTTTTGTTGTTCTGATTGGATGTTTTCTCTACTTTGTGTTTCAGAACACTGATCGATCCCCTGCTTTACCTAATCTGCTGTTGATTCCCTCTATTGTATTCTTCATTTCAGTTATTGTATTAATTTCTGATGGGTTATTTTCAGTTTTTTAACTCCATTTTTGTTGCTTATATCTTTAAGAGTAGATGAGTTTATCTACTCTTCCTCTAAAGTTCATTGAGCTAGCTTTGAACCATTGTTTTGGACTCTGCATCTGGTAGGTTTCTGGTCTTCATTTTGTTTAGTTCTTTTCTGGAGTTTTGTCCTGTTCTTTCATTTGGAACATGTCTGTCTCCCCATTTTGGCTACCTCCCTGTATTTGTTTCTATGTATTAGGTAGATCTGTCATGTCTCCTGGTCATGGCAAAATGGCCATAGGTAGTAGGTGTCCTATGGGGTCTAGTAGTACACTCTCCCAGGTCACCTGATTCAGGTGCTCCAGAGGTACCCCTTGTGTGGATTGTGTGTTCCCTCCTGTGTGGTTGAACCTTGATTGCTGTTGGCAAGTCAGAGGGTAGGGTTGACTCTCAGGCTGACTGGTTGTGAGGTCTGGATGTGACTGCAGTGCATGAACTGTTGCGCAGGGACTGATCCCAGGGAGTAAGTTGGTTGGTTGATGCTCTGGTGTAGTCTGAAGCCATCCATTGGGTGTTTTGGTTCTGGTGCAGGCAATGTTAGCCCTTACTTGTTCCGGGTTTTGGGCCTGTTGGTAGGAGTGACAAAGTGATCTGTGATTAATTGCTGCTTGTGGTGGGCTTGGGGACACTTGGGAGAGGCTTTGCTGCAAACCAAGGTCCCCTGCCACTATTGTCAGGTTGGGACCCTTTGGTGGGTACCATGATATGACCTAAGGACAGCTTCCACTGAGCCAAGCTTGTGTCTGCTTAGTTGAAGCTGTGTTCCAGGCCAAGAGTGGTTGTTGCTTATGCCAGGCTTGGGGCCACTTGATGGGAGTTACAATGCAAGTTGAGACTGGTCACTCCTTGTACTAGTCTTGGGGCTATATATCAAGTGCTATAAGGCACACGGAGGCCAGCTTCTGCTCAGGCTTTATTCAACCTTTGAGAGATTGTGTGAAGTTTGTAGTGTGAACTGAGGCAGGTCACTTGTGTGGAGGAGCTGCTAGAAGAGACATGGGTTGGGTGTGCAAGTTGGGTGGGAAGGGGTCTCCAGGGAATCGCCTGGTTGGGGTGAACTGTATTAACCAGGTTAATGGAGAGCAGAATTAGTGCTCTGCAGGCTGGGTTGGAGAAACACTCAACAAAAGGACAATGACACTTTCCAGCACTTTGGTCTCCAGAGAGAGCTGCCCTGACCTGCTCCTCCAGCCCTCACCCTGAAGCTGGTAAATTCAGTTACACCCCATATGTCCTGGCACTATTTGAGCTGTTGCCCCTGCAGTGGAGCCCAGAGCTAGTAAGTTTGC